CCCTGTGTTTATTTCTATTTCTCCTTCTTTCCCCATCCTTCTAAATTTTGTCCTTAGGTAAATGCTGCCCTTTCGATTTTGGTGTACGCACCTCACTATTGTTGCCCCATCTATATACCTGTTGATTGCTTGGCTGAAAATTAACTCACAGGGGTGAGTGAGTTCCAGACCTGAAGGGTGACCAAGGGTCATAGACTCTGAGTTCCACCAGTCTCTATCTGGCCATACGCCTAGTCTTTTTCACAATTCTGCCCACTGTATTGAGGACCTTCTAACATGATCCCTTTCAGAGCAGTTGGTAGTGGTAGCTGGGCACCATCTAGTTCTAGAGCAGGGATGCAGAACATCCTGCTACAGGCCGTATGTGGTGGTGGTGGCTGTGTGCCGTGGAGTCGGTTCCGACTCATAGTGACCCTGTACAGGGTTTCTGAGGCTGTAACTCTTTACGGGAGCAGAAAGTCTCATCTTTATCCTGCGGAACAGCTAGTAGTTTCCAACTGCTGACCTTGCAGTTTGCAGCCCAATTCGTAACCACTACGTATAAGGCCTGCGAAATCATTTGGTCTGGCCCTTCCAAGGCAACTGCAATTCCAGTCATCACACTCTTGTTGTTGTTAGGTGTCATTGAGTCGGTACCAAGTCATAGCTACCCTATGCACTACAGAACAAAACACTGCCCGGTCCTGGGAGAACCTCACAATTGTTGCCACACTTGAGCCCACTGATGCTGCCACTTGGCCAATCCATCTTGTTGGGGGTCTTCCTCTTTTTCTCTGACCCTCCTACTTACCAAACATGATATCCTTCTCCAGTGACTGGTCCCTCCTGACAATTTGTCTGAAGTATGAGAGACAAAGTTTGGCCATCCTGCCCTCCAAGGAGCACTCTGGCTACACTTCTTCCAACACATATCTGTTTGTTCTTTTGGCAGCCCATGGCACTTTCAATATTCTCCTCCAATATCATCACAGTTATTGTTGTTGTTAGGTGCCATCGAGTCGGTACCAACTCATAGCGATCCTAAGCACAACAGAATGAAACACTGCCCAATCCAGGGCCAACCTCACAATTGTTGTCACACTTGAGCACACTGATGCTGCCACTTTGCCAATCCATCTTGCTGGGGGTCTTCCTCTTTTTCTCTGACCCTCAATATTCTCCTCCAACATCATAACTCAAATGTATCAATTATACAGTCTTCTTTATTCATTGTCCACCTTTCGCATGCAAATTACCATCACATTAGGCATGAGTTAATTAAATGTTTGACCAAATGTAGCAGGCTAATTTTTAAGTTGATAGTTATGTATGGCCCATGAATGACATAATTTTGGCAGAAAAAAGGTTCCTGAGCCCTGTGCTAGAGACTGATATTCATGTGGTCGATTAGTCCACTGGACTAACTGTTTCCAAGTATCTTCAATTTTTTTCATTCTTTCCTCTGGACAGGGATAGACCAATAATACACCTTCTTAGATGGCTGCTCATGAGCTTTGAAGTTCCCAGTTGTTACTCACCAAAGTAGGAAATAGAGCAGTTCTGGTGGACTATGTTATGCCAGTTGATCATGCTGTCCTCAGAGACTATGGGTCTGAGCCCCAGACCCAACTAGTCATTCTCTCAAATTTTTGGTGATGTCTAAGAGGTTTCATAATTTTGGTCCCTGTTTGCTTCACCACAGAATACTGGTATGGTGCTGTAGGATAAGCACTGGACTGCTAACCTCCAGGTTAGTGGTTTAAACTTAATAGTTGCTCCTTGGAAACCCGAGGAGTCAGAACCAAATCAACAATACTTAGAAACAACATGCTCCACCACATTAATGCATATCTATGAAGCAAATATAAATACCATGTACAAATCTCCTTTGTCAAACCTCTATGTATTTGTGGGTCTACTCCCAATCTCCCTCCCACACCCATTCAGCCTGTGTATCTATCCATGGATCTATCCATAGATCACTGCTACTGCAGGATTGTGTATATAACAGTAGTTACCTCTGCTCCCTTTAACTCTTGCACTCCTCTCCTATCTTCCCCTGCCTTCATTCATCATTCTTTTGCCAACCTTACTCTTGTTGTATATTGCCTTCCCCATCACCCAAGTTGCTCTCTGGTAGCATAGTGGTTACAAATCAGGCTGCTAATCTCATGGTCAGCAGTTCAATACTACCAGCTGTTCTGAGGGAGAAAGATAAGCTTTCTGCTCCCATAAAGATTTACAGCCTCGGAAACCCTGTACAGGGTGGTTATGTGTTGGAACCAACTCCATGGCACATAACAATAACAATCACCCAAGTTAACAAGTATCTATCTTCTAGCCAGTAAATTACTCGCCTTTCCTTCCCACAATGGTAAGTATCAAAGAATGTTTCTTTTAACCCCTATGCTTTACTAGTTCTATGCCCTAAATATATTAAAAAGCCACTTCCTGGCACAAAATCAGAGTTCACTGCACATGTAGTTCTTTTTTACTAACAACATTGAATGAGTCAATTAAAGTTTTAGAATTTTATTAATTATGATAGGTTTTGTCCAGCTCTACACTCATAAAGCAGACAAGTGCTTTTCTTTCAACAAATTAAAAATAATTTTTTTCCCTTTAAAATGGAAAAAAAAAGTTTTCAATTAACAGATAAGTAATTCATATTCTGGAGTCCTGGTGTGGTGCTATGGGTTAATGTGCCAGAATGAAAACCGTCTGACCCACAAGGTCAGCAGTTCAAACTGCTCCTTGGAAACTCTGTACAGGGTCGCTATGGGTCGGAACCGACACGATGGCACTTAACAACAACAACAATTCATATTCTACATAATAAATAAAAACAACACAGAAGCATAACATAAAAAATAGAAGTCTCCCCATTTACCAAGCATACCTCTCATAAAGGTGTTGGTGGTTATGGTGGTTACGTGACATGGAGTCAGTTCCAACTCATAGTGACCCTGCAAAGGGTTTCTGAGGCTGTAAATCTTTACGGGACCTATAAAGCCTCATCTTTCTCCCACGGAACCACTGGTGGTTTGAACTGCTGACTTTGAGGTTAGCAGCCTGTAATCACTATCAACTATGTAGTATTTTACTTTCCACATTTGTTTATATCAATGTATCATTTTCTCTAGATGTTAAGATTCAGAGGAATTAATTAAAACATGGATAGTTTTAAAACAGTCACATAATTGTTTCCTCAGAAGTTCATTATAATCTACAGTCTGTTCCATCAAAAACAAAAAGAATAATTCAAGTTTATTTGTTGCAGGAAGGAAGATTCAGTGTTTAGGAGATACTGAACTTTTAGAAGGATATGAAAAAACTTTGAACAAATAAGGATGATGGCTGAACAACATGATGCACATAACTTTAAGGTCACTGAACTTACATAGGAAAAACATTGAAATGGCAAATGTTTTGCTACATATGTACTTACCACAATAATAACAATACAAAGACATAGAAAAGACCAAGTAAAATTAATAAAATTTATATATGTTGCTGTTGTTAAGTGCCGTCGAGTCAGTTCTGACCCATAACGACCCTGTATAGAGTTTCTGAGGAGCAGCTGGTGAGCTTGAACCGCCAGCCTTGCAGTTCAAACGGCTTTGCAGTCTGGCGTATTAACCCACAGTGCCACACATTTATGTGTGTTTGGGTATATGTTAGTATATATATATTTATATAAATATATTGTTGTTGCTGTTGTTGTTAAGTGCCATCGAGTCGGTTCCGACCCATAGCGACCCTGTATAGGGTTTCCGAGGGTGTAAGAAAGAGAGAGAGGAGTTGATTATATGCCGTTGAGTTTGTTCAAACTTATAGTTACCCTACATAGGGTTTCCGAGACTGTAAATCTTTACAGGAGCAGAAAGCATCATTTTTCTCCCGCAGAACGGCTGGTAGTTTTGGACTGCTGACCTTGAGGTTAGCAACCCGAATCAATCATAACCACTATGTTACCAGAGCGTGTGTGCTCTCTCTCTCTCTCTGTGTCTCTCTGTCTCTCTGTCTCTCTCTCTCTCTCTCTCTCTCTCTCTCTCTCTCTCT